GTAAATAATACAATTAAATAGTTTAATTTTAGTTTATAAACGATGTTAATTTTTCCCCATAGTATGTAAAATTACGTGTATATTACGTGCATTTTTGTATTTTACAACGTAAATTACGTTGCTTCAAAAAAATCATTGTAATTTACCAACCTTAGTCTGTACTACAGACAATACAATGGAAAATGTTTGGCGCCGGCAGTCATGTAGTGTTGTTTTTATCAATGAAAAGTCTCTATGTGTTTGTGCCGACACAGTCGATGGGGCCGGAAATCAATACCATTAATGTAAATGTAAAAACTTTAAGCAACAAAAAAGTATTGAATGAAAACTAAATCTTAAAAAATTCATTCATTCAAAAAGCTATTCATTAAGTTACACATCAAATACTGTTGCCATTACGACATAGATTGTGGTTATAATCAGTGCTAAACCTAACCTAACCATCAATACTAACCCTATGGGCGCGACTGCTAGCAAAAAGTACCGGCGCTATCGGCGGCTACTGACCCGTGCCTGGACAGCCACCGCACCGCAAACCATACGGCCGGGCGATATCATCAAGATCAAACTGCAGGACGCGGATGGCGATTGGGCCAACCATTGGGCCCTATGCGACCACATCGATCAGTTTGGTCACGTGTACTGTTACCACGTTGTGACCGACGACCGGGACCTGGACAAGGATGTGACCCGTCGGGCGCTGGTCAGGTACGAGACACTCGAGCGCATTATATACAGCAAAGGCCATCACTCTAGCGCCGAGCCGGCCCGCTATCGGGTGGCCAATCAGCGCCGGTTGGCCCGTAAGGTGTTGTGGACAGTGGGCCGACAGGTGCCCGAGTGGCAAGACTTGGCCGCCGATCTGGAGCAGCTGCCCGGCCAGTACGTGGACTATCACTGGAAGGTAAGTTAGGTTTTAAAATTAATTATGGTATTGTTTTATTTAATTTGTTTTTATTTTTTGCATACGATTTGTTGGACACCCCGTATAGACACGTAATGAAGAGCATTACTGTACGCACTGGCGGTACGCCATCGGGTGGTCCACCGATGTATACACTGACCATCAGATTGTGGACAAAACGATCGATCAGATGGCGATACTTACCCGTCGGACAACCGCTAAGGAGGTCGCCGGTTGACAACTGCCCCCCAACCCCTCTACTGTTGACCCTCAACCCTTTGTATTACTTACCCCGGTGTTTAGTCCCCTTTCCCTGTGCTTATAATCATTGTTTTTATCATGTTTTTTAATTTAATTTAATTTGCATTTAATCGATATATTGTTTTTTAACCAAAATTTTTAATAATTTTATAATTTTTGTTTTTTCTAATTTAATCATTACTTATAATTACTTTCAATTTAATAGAAAAACTAACGTAAAATCAGCATTTTGTCATTTTTACCATGTTTTAAATGTATAATCATTATAAATCAGTATTGTTTTTGATTTAAATTCAATTCAAATAATTTTAGTCGTGTTTTTATCATGTGTTTTGTCCAAATATATACACTAATTATAATTACAATAAATAAATGTTGTGTAAATATAATTTAAAACAATTAAAATAAATCAATGTTAAAATGTGTAAAATTTAAATTTATTATTTTTTCACTATTTGTGTTTTTTATTTCAATATAACCTACATATTGTATATATTGGACATCAAAATGACATTAATGGTTACAATATGACCATATTTGGACGCACACTCACCCTCATTAATGAACTAACCCTTCACCACGTTGAGTGCAAAAAACATTATTACACATACAGTGTAACCCAATAATAACTAACATGCAATGCATTGTAACCAATGGATAAAAACGATTGAAAATGGTACATAATATCATGCATAGACTGTATGCCAGTGTATATTACATCCGGGTCTGACTGTCGGCATTACATCAAACAAACCCATTCATTGACACTAAAAATAATTACAAAAAAAACATCAAAAACCAAATCATTCAACAAAACAAAAAAGTTATTTTTCATTCAATCACTTGTTGTCAACCAAACCACACATAACTCACCAAAAGTTACCCAAAAACTAAAACTAACCCAAAAACCAAAGTGAAAAACAATGGGTAACCTATTGTCGCACTTCCGTACGCCTCCTATAGTCACCGGAGACCTCATTGAGATCTTAATACCGGTGCCGACCGACGACCCGCACACCGTAACCGTCGGCCGCAACCGTAGCCACTGGGCTCTGGTCGAGTCGGTCGACCCGCGCGGCAATATCCGCTGCTATCACTTGGCCCGCGACCCCCTGACGGCGCCCACCCGTCGGGTCGTACGCTGGGAACCGTTGGTCAACATTCTGGACGAGTGCGCGGACATCGGCGCCGACGGGTTTGTCTATTGGCGGTGCAATAATCAGCACCGGTTGGCCCGACAACTGCTGGCGATTACCGGCCGACACGGGCCGCCGCCGTTGGACGTAGTGTTTGGCGAGATAAACAAGTTTCGGGACCGGGAGGTGGCCTTTGACCCCGACGTAAGTCTAACTTAACAACACTATTAAGTATAACACATGTAACTAATGGTTGTTATGTTTTATGGGGTTGTCATACAGGGGTGTAATGCCGAGCATTACTGCACGTACTGGCGCTACGGCATTGGCTGGTCGTCCGGCCGACACCCGCCCCAACAGATTGTGGCCAAAGCCGAGCACGAGATGCGCGAAATGGCCGCACAGGCGGCCGCTGAGGCCCGAGCGCAGGCACCCGATGGCACACCACTGGTGACCACTATAGGCACCACTATTGGCAAACCGGTGGCGGCGACTAAAGGCATACGTAAACGGATGTCACGTACGGACAAATACGCGGCCAAAGCCCAGGCGGAGAGCACAGCCCAACCCCCTGTCAAACCCAAATCCAAACCTCGAGTTCAGTTTCAAGCCGTGTCCGGCGGGTCGCGCGATATACAGGTGCTCTCAAGCGAACCCACGAGTGATGTAAATTCCCCGCCAGTGGTCGCGAAGAAGGGAAAGGGGAGGCGAGTGCTCAGACATTTGGCCAAGTTTTTTGCTTTTTAGATGTGTTTTGTATTTTTTTGCATGTTTTTTGAAATTCATTTGTTTTTGTAATGTGTTTTTGAATTTAAATTTATATCCATTTGTATTTAATCATTAATTTTGATGTGTTTTTTAATTTAAATATGGATTTAGTTATCATTTAATATTTGTATTCATTTTGTATTGTATTTCACGATTAAAATAATTAAAATTTGAATTTTATGCTTAATTTTTTGTTAATTGTCTACAATTATTGGCAATGATTTATAAATAATAACATTTAATGGTTTTAATAAAACTAAATAATTATATGAATCAAAAAATGTTTGTTTCAAATATTTTTCTCAAATATAAGACAACACTATTTGCTGTTAAAAACCAATTCATTCACAAATTTTGCCCAAAAAAGGCATTAATCTAATTAAAGCCTAAACTGTCGGCACAAACGCACATAGACTTCATTGAGAAATACCATAACTCTTACGGCGCCAACCATTTCCTGTCCTATTGTCTGTACATCAAAGCACATGTACCCTATCGTACAGTTGCCATACGTCGGGCAGCCTTTGTCTTACACTTTAAGCAAACAATTTAATTGAGTAAAAAATTGACTTTTTTCAAAAGTTTAGCCAAAAAACAATACACAAAATAGACACCAAAACCGACACTCCCGGCCCCCTGTCCTTCCACCCCCACAAACAACACAACACTACCCATACATACCAGTGCTTCAAAACCTATCACCAAAACCATAATCAAGTCATTTGGCAAAACAATATCAAACGCTTAACACATATTGAAAATATTGGCCAAAAGTTTGCTCAAAACAAAACAACTGTTTTTACATTTAAACTCAATGGGAGCCAAACCGTCCAAATACTCGCGCCGTTGGCCACCGGGTGCTGTAAAGGCCAGGGATCTCATACAGATCCGGTGTAGGGGTGCGTACGGGACGTACAGCCACTGGGCTCTGTGCGAGTCGGTCGACAAGAGGGGCATAATATGGTGTTTCCACGTCAGGCCCTGCGCTCCGGCACCCGATGGCCAGCAGCGGGCGATTGTCCGCTACGAACGCTTGGAGGACATACTGATGGCGATGGCCGACCAGTGGACAGGTCTGGTGCCCGACTGGCGCGTGAATAATCAGCAAAAGTTGGCCCAACAAGTGCTCACTAGTGTCGACAAACGGCGGCCCGGAGTCCGGTGGGACCGGAATCGACACCGGGTGCGGGACGTGGCCTATAACCCGATGGTAAGTGTTTGTTATGATTGACTTGTGTTTAGTGATTGATAATTGATTTAATGGTATGTTTTTATGGCTATACTTAGACCCGTAATACTGAGCACTACTGCACGGCCTGGAAGTACGGCACCGGTTGGTCGACACAAGTCATGTCTGATAGCCGTATCATTAAGTCGGTGGCCAAACGATGGTCGTAATCGCTCGCCGGCCCTGACATCTGCATCAACAAATTTTTGTGTATTTTTTGAACAATGGTTTGTTTGAATTGTTTTATTAATTTATGTTTTATCGTATAAACCGGTGATTTTAATTAATGAAAATAATCATGGTGATGTTTTATTATGCAATTATAACTGTTTACTTATTTCTTAATTTAATAATCATGATAATGATAAATTGTTCATTAGTTGTTGTATAAAATACAATAACAATATTGATATTTATTATAAGCTGTATATTAAACAATGTAAATACTCTTTGAGTATACAATATATTTTGCATTTCTTTTAATTGGTAACCTATTGTCTCACTTCCGTACACCTCATATAGAGATCTGATTGAAATCTTAATACCGGTGCCGACCAATTAATTTTGGTATTGTTTTTAAATTTTTGAATATGATTTGTTGGACACCCCGTATAGACACGCAATGAAGAGCATTACTGCACGCACTGGCGGTACGCCATCGGGTGGTCCACCGATGTATACACTGACGTTCGCTAAGGAGGTCGCCGGTTGACCACTGCCCCCAACCCCTCTACTGCTGACCCCCAACCCCCTGTATTACTTACCCCGGTGTTTAGTCCCCGCATTCCCTGTGCTTTTATTACTATAATCATTGTTTTATCATGTTTTTAATTTAATTTAATTTGTATTTAATCGATATATTGTTTGATTTTAACTAAAATTTTTAATAATTTTATAAATGGTTGTTTTATCTAATTTAATCATTGCTTATAATTACTTTTAATTTAATGGAAAAACTAACGTAAAATCAGTGTTTTATCCAATTTTTACCATGTTTTTAATGCATAATCAATATAAATCACTATTGTTTTTCATTTAAATCCAATTTAAATAATTTTAGTCGTGTTTTTACCATGTGTTCAAATGTATACACTAATTATAATTGCAATAATAAATAAATGTTGTGTAAATATAATTTAAAACAATTAAAAAAAAATCAACGATAAAATGTGTAAAATTTAAATTTATTTTTTCACTATTTGTGTTTTTTATTTCAATATAACGTATATATTGGACATCAAAATGACATTAATGGTTACAATATGACCATATTTGGACGCACACTCTCCCCCATTAATGAACTAACCCTTCGCCACGACGAGTGCAAAAAACATTATTACACGTACAGTGTAACCCAATAATAACTAACGCAATGCATTGTAACCAATGGATAAAAACGATTGAAAATGGTACATAATATCGTGCATGGACTGTATTCCAGTGTACATTACATCCGGGTTTGACTGTCGGCAACGCTTTCATCCAAAAAACCCATTCATTGACACTAAAAAACTAATTACAAAAAAATACATCAAAAACCAAATCATTCAACGAAAAAGTTTAGTTTTTCATTCATTCAATCACTTGTTGTCAACCAAACCACACATAACTCACCAAAAGTTACCCAAATCTTAACCCAAAAACCAAAGTGAAAAACAATGGGTAACCTATTGTCTCACTTCCGTACGCCTCCTATAGTCACCGGAGATCTCATTGAGATCTTAATACCTGTGCCAACGGATGACCCGAAGACCGTAACCGTCGGCCGCAACCGTAGCCACTGGGCTCTGGTCGAGTCGGTGGACCCGCGCGGTAATATCCGCTGCTATCACTTGGCCCGCGACCCCCTGTCGGCGCCCACCCGTCGTGTCGTACGCTGGGAACCGTTGGTCAACATTCTGGACGAGTGCGCGGACATCGGCGCCGACGGGTTTGTCTATTGGCGGTGCAATAATCAGCACCGGTTGGCTCGACAGCTGTTGGCCATCACCGGCCGACACGGCCCGCCGCCGTTGGACGTAGTGTTTGGCGAGATTAACAAGTTTCGGGACCGGGAGGTGGCCTTTGACCCCGACGTAAGTCCTACTATAAAGTACACTATAAAGTATATACATGTAACTAATGGTTGATATGTTTTATGGGATGTCATACAGGGGTGTAATGCCGAGCACTACTGCACGTACTGGCGCTATGGGATCGGCTGGTCGTCCGGCCGACACCCGCCCCAACAGATTGTGGCCAAAGCCGAGCACGAGATGCGCGAAATGGCCGCACAGGCGGCCGCTGAGGCTCGAGCGCAGGCACCCGATGGCACACCACTGGTGACCACTATAGGCACCACTATTGGCAAACCGGTGGCGGCGACTAAAGGCATACGTAAACGGATGTCACGTACGGACAAATACGCGGCCAAAGCCCCGGCACCCGACAGCACAGTCCAACCCACTGTCAACCCCAAATTCAAACCTCGGGTCCAGTTTCAAGCCGTGTCCGGCGGGTCGCGCGATATAGAGGTGCTCTCAAGCGAACCCACGAGTGATGTTAAGCCCCCGCCAGTGGTCGTGAAGAAGGGAAAGGGGAGGCGAGTGCTCAGACATTTGGCCAAGTTTTTTGCTTTTTAGATGTGTTTTTGTATTTTTTGCATGTTTTTTAAAATTCATTTGTTTTTGTAATGTGTTTTTGGATCTAAATTTTTATCGATTTGTATTTAATCATTAATTTTGATGTGTTTTTTAATTTAAATGTGGATTTAGTTATCATTTAATGCTTGTATTCATTTTGTATTGTATTTCACGATTAAAATAATTCAAATTTGAATTTTATGCTGAATTTTTTGTTAATTGTCTACAATTATTGGCAATGATTTATAATAACATTTAATGGTCATTTAATAAATACAAAATTGACCATGGTTTAAATAAAATTAAATATTTATTACAAATATTTATTTCAAATATTTTTCTCAAATATAAGACAACATTATTTTGCTGTTAAAACCAATTCATTCACAAATTTTGCCCAAAAAAGGCATTAATCTAATTAAAGCCTAAACTGTCGGCACAAACACACATAGACTTCATTGAGAAATACCATAACTCTTACGGCGCCAACCATTTCCTGTCCTATTGTCTGTACATCAAAGCACATGTACCCTATCGTACAGTTGCCATACGTCGGATGCCTTTGTCTTACACTTTAAGCAAACAATTTAATTGAGTAAAAAATTTCATTAAGTTTTACAAAAGTTTAACCAAAAATAACACAAAAAATAGACACTATAACCGACACTCCCGGCCTCCCTGTCCTCCACCCCCATAAACAACACAACACTACCCATACATACCAGTGCTTCAAAACCTATCACCAAAACCATAATCAAGTCATTTGGCAAAACTATATCAAACTCTTAACACATATTGAAAATATTGGCCAAAAGTTTTTTGAAAACCAAAACTTAAACTCAGTTTACATTCAAACTCAATGGGACTCAAACCGAGCAAATATGCCCGCCGTTGGCCACCCGGTGCTGTAAAGGCCAGGGATCTGATACAGATCCGGTGTGTGGGCGCGTACGGGCCGTACAGCCATTGGGCTCTGTGCGAGTCGGTGGACAAAACGGGCTGCATTTGGTGTTTTCACGTCAGGTCCTGCGCTCCGGCACCCGACGGCCGGCAGCGGGCGATTGTCCGCTACGAACGCTTGGAGGACATACTTATGGCGATGGCCGACCAGTGGACAGGTCTGGTGCCCGACTGGCGGGTGAATAATCAGCAAAAGTTGGCTCAACAGGTGCTCACTAGTGTTGATAAGCGACGGCCCGGAGTCCGGTGGGACCGGAACCGACACCGGGTCCGTGACGTGCCCTATAACCCGATGGTAAGTTTGCTCCTGATTGTTATGAGACTTGTTATGTGATTGATAATTGATTTATTGTATGTTTTTTGATGGTATACTTAGACCCGTAATACTGAGCACTACTGCACGGCCTGGAAGTACGGCACCGGTTGGTCGACGCAAGTCATGTCCGATAAGAGTATTATTAAATCGGTGGCCAAACGTTTGTCGTAATCTCCCGCCGGCCCCTAGATCTGGATGAACAAATTTTTGTGTATTTTTTTCAATAGTAATCTATAATTATTTTGTATAATGGTTTTTTGTGTTATTTTTAAATCAATGGTTTGTTTGAATTGTTTTATTAATTGATGTTTTATCGTATAAACCGGTGGTTTTAATTAATGAGAATAATCATGGTGATGTTAATTATGCAATTATAACTGTTTACTTATTTCTTAATTTAATAATCATGATAATGATAAATTGTTCATTAGTTTTTGTATAAAATACAATAACAATATTGATATTTATTATAAGCTGTATATTAAACAATGTAAATACTTTTTGAGTATACAATATATTTTGCATTTATTTTAATTGGTAACCTATTGTCTCACTTCCGTACGCCTCCTATAGTCACCGGAGATCTCATTGAGATCTTAATACCGGTGCCGACCAACTAATTTTGGTATTGTTTTTAATTTTTTAAAATTTTTGAATATAATTTGTTGGACACCACGTAATGAAGAACATTACTGTACGCACTGGCGGTACGCCATCGGGTGGTCCACCGATGTATACACTGACCATCAGATTGTGGACAAAACCATCGATCAGATGGCGATACTTACGCGCCGGACAACCGCTAAGGAGGTCGCCGGTTGACCACTGCCCCCAACCCCCTCTACTACTGACCCTCAACCCCACTATATTACATACCCCGGTGTTTAGTTCCCCTCATTTCCCTATGCTTTTATAATTATGATCATTGTTTTTGTCATGTTTTTAATTTAATTTAATTTATAATCAATATATTGTTTTTTAACTAAAATTTTTAATATTTTTATAAACTTTTGTTTTCCCTAATTTAATCATTACTTATAATTACTTTTAATTTAATAGAAAACTAACGTAAAATCAGTATTTTGTCCAATTTTTACCATGTTTTAAATGTATAATCATTATAAATCAGTATTGTTTTTGATTTAAATTCAATTTAAATAATTTTAGTCGTGTTTTTATCATGTGTTTTGTCCAAATATATACACTAATTATAATTACAATAAATAAATGTTGTGTAAATATAATTTAAAACAATTAAAATAAATCAATGTTAAAATGTGTAAAATTTAAATTTATTTGTGTTTTTTATTTCACTACTGTATAACGTATACAGTATATTGGACATCAAAATGACATTAATGGTTACGATATGAGTCATATTTGGACGCACACTCACCCCCATTAATGAACTAACCCTTCACCACGTTGAGTGCAAAAAAACATTATTACACATACGGTGTAACCCAATAATAACTAACATGCAATGCATTGTAACCAATGGATAAAAACGATTGAACATGGTATTTTGCGGTACATAATATCGTGCATAGACTGTATTCCAGTTTATATTACATCCGGGTTTGACTGTCGGCAGCGCTTTCATCCAAAAAACCCATTCATTGACACTAAAAAACTTAATACAAAAAAATACATCAAAAACCAAATCATTCAACAAAAAAGTTATTTCAATCATTCAATCACTTGTTGTCAACCAAACCACACATAACTCACAACAAAAGTTACCGCAAAAACTAAAACTAACCCAAAAACCAGAGTGAAAAACAATGGGTAACCTATTGTCTCACTTCCGTACGCCTCCTATAGTCACCGGAGACCTCATTGAGATCTTAATACCGGTGCCGACCGACGACCCGCACACCGTAACCGTCGGCCGCAACCGTAGCCACTGGGCTCTGGTCGAGTCGGTCG